ATTAGTTTTATTTAAGATTTTAAATTTTTCATATTAATATTAAATCTTTGAATGAGCTGAGTTTGCTTAGAGATGAATTCAGTTTATATAAAAATATTATTAAATATGTTTCAGAAAGTAGAAACAGATGTCCAAACAAAATATGCTCAAAATCCACGATCTATGCAACAAAGTGAATATAAAAGTGTATTCTTGTGTGCAAAAACCTGAAAATGAAGTAATTGACAATGGCCATATGGTGCTTAAAATTGATCTCATGACATATATTAATGAAGCAAATTAATTTTAAGAACTAACTTGTTTTGGTAAAAATATAAAAGCTTTAATCGTTATGAAATAATATCAAATATTTTTTGTTTAAAATATTTACAGGTCAGATAAATAAAACTATATTATAGATTTTTATTAAAATCGCTTTAACAACAGTTTAATCTTTGTATATACAAGAGAAAAAAATATATATGTATAAATCTTACACTGTACACTGGCTTTAATTTAAATTAGAGTTTAAAAATTGGGCAAACAATTGTGGAATTTTCTCTATACTAGAAGTATTTGTATGCATTTTACTGTATGTTAAGAACTGTCTCCTAAGTCTTGATAATTGTCCAATTGTAATGTCGCTGGGATAGTTTATAACTACACCTTTTTAACCTGGTATTTATATGGACCAGAATTGCCCATTTTCTGATTTGTAATGATATTTCCAACTATATCCTGAGTAATTTTGTCCATTTCATAAAGAAAATTTGGTGCACTCAGTGGGGCTGAAAAATGAAAAATCATTAAAAAATAATTTATAGAACATCAGGCATAAAATTTATTTGATTTTAATATTTCCTTCTTTAGATAAAACTAAAGACAGTTTGCAGTTGCAGTTTGAATGTTTCAGTATGTTAAAAAAAACTAAAGCTAATTCAGTATGAATTCAAATGAAAATAAATAAATTTATAATTATCTTCGTTATGTCCTCCAATATCATTAGTATCCAGAATATCACAAAAACATTATAATAGTTTTCACATCAATGTTTTAGCTTAATTTTCATTTATAAATAAAGAAATCAAATATAATAATATATATATATATATATATATATATATATATATATATATATATATAATAGTGTTAATATAATATTTTATCAAATACTATAGCTCATTGTATTTCAATGAGTTTTTATGTAAAATATATATATATATTATATATAATATATATATATGTAAATAACAGTTGCCCGTTTTCTAAAATTAACTTAAAGTAAAATACTCACATTTTGTGTTGATAAATTTGGAGCAGGTGGCTTCTTTTCGAATACACTAATATAAATTTCATCAAACTTGCACTCATCCTCAGGAAATATTGCAAATAAAGGAGAATCCCAACGATTTGTTGGATTAGGTTCTTCATACCGAAAACAAAGCTCATCAAAAACTTTTTGTATATGGAAGGTTGGAATTTTGGTTGAACTT